GTTCCCTTTATTTTTTTGAGCAGTGTATATATATATGTATGTATGTATATGTGGTAAATAATCTGCTCTTCAGCTTTAATGAGGAAAACTGTCATTTGTGGTTCTGAATTTTGCTGCCTTCAGAGTTTGCACTGATCCCTGTGGTGCCGTTTCAGAAGCTTTGCAGTTTGTTTATTTGCGTCCTAAAAACACTCGCAACGAGCAATGCCGAGTGCCGGCTTCCGTTTAAGCAAAAAGTAATGCAAGCCGTGAGATCAGGACAATACGAGGGAGGCGGGCAATTACTGTAATGCAGTTCTCTGAAAGGAAAGGTGATGAGAGACTTGAATGTTGTCCCGGTAAAGAATAAATAAAACATCCCCCCTCCCAAAGCTCGCTCTCAGAATGAAGAGAGAGAACACTAAATTATTATTTTGGAGCTGAAGATCCAAGGAGATTTTACTTTACTGAGTCCTTGCTCAGCATAGCTTTTGCCTCCATCTGTCCAGACAAACACATGCCATCTCATCTGTTTTGTTTTCCGTCTTATAATTTGCATAACATGTTTGCAAATTTCCTATACGGAAGATACAGTTTCATGCGAACCGAAGACGAATGTTAACCTGCTTAATTTGGTGTTTATGTGATAAATAAATACATTTATTTCCTAATTGTGAGGTGGAAAAAATTTCAACATGTTTTGAAAACCTGCTGCGTGAAGTGACTTTATGTTGAGCCTTTTTACTCTAATACCACTACAACAAATCCAGTTCAATTACTTTACGCAACCTGAGTCACCTTAGTATTACGTAATTAAATCCAGGTGTTCACAACTGATAGATATGAACTCCATGGAGAGTTGAAGTTGAAATTGCAAAGTAAAACGTGTCCACAAGGTATGCAATCATGGGAGCTCAACAGAAATGCACAGTAGATTTTTTTGTAGCTGTTTTTCTTTAAAAAAAAAAAAAAAAAAAAAAAAGAAAGAAAAATAACTATTGATACTGTTCCACTCCAGGCTTTTGCACTACTCTGTGTTGGTCCATTACCTCAAATCTCACCAAAACGCACTGAAAATTACAGCTGTGATATGACAATATGTGAATAAATTTGCAAAGCACTCGGTAGACAGAACCCAGTTCCACCAGTTGCAGATTAACTGTGATGTGCTGTCATGAGCGACTGCACCTTTCTCGTTCACTTTAGCCACAAATATATGAGTAACATTTCTATGCTTTTGGTCTTCCCTCCTTTTGAAATCTCTTCTTGCATATCAAGATGAACCGACCTGCATTAAACTTTGCATATTTTCAACCAGACCTCATTTCACAGCATGAAGCCCATATGCTCGTTGAAGCGAGAGCTTTGAAAAGACTTGATATTTCTCATATTCTCCCCGATGGCCCATGACACAGAGTCACTATGAAATCCTGCAGGTGGCTCCTTAAATGGAAAACTAGATGTGATGATGCGGTCTCCAAGCATTTCAACTATGTACTTTAAGTTATGTCTCCGGTCTGAGGTTTTCTCTTGTTCTGATTCACATTTTAGTTTGTCGGCTCCAATTTAAGAGGCAAAAACATCCAATTTAAAGCTGCGATGAGACTTGTGACCTCTTTTTCAGAGTATAAGAACATGTTGTTGGTGTCATGGAGTCCTTGGAGAGCAGTGGTCCTCTGAGGACATTTTCAGAGAGAAACTCGAGATGACTGGAAAAAGAGAAACCAGACATAACAAACTACAAAGAGGAATCGGTTTCCTCTTTGCTCTGTGATGAGTAATAAAAAAAAAAAAAAACACTGTTTTGATATCAAACAAGACCCATGGGGTTCTCCAAACTCAGAGACAACCAGATCTTGCGTTTGTTTTCATGACACACACTCTCCTATCATAGCAGGTGCAGGTCCATCTGTATTTATCCATGATGTGCGTCTAACCAGGCTTTTGAAAAACATCGCTGTTTGGACTGTGATACGAGGAAGAGCTTGGCTCTTCTCTCAGAACACGAACATGAAAACAGAGAGGGGAAAGTCTCATGAGAAAAACATAAATCGACGTCCGAATTGTGAAAAAAAAAATATCAGCAGCAATATTTCCGCAAACAGCGAATGTTATCCAGTAATCTCCTCTTGATGGCCATTGAAACAGCTAAGATACATCATTTTTTTAAAACAAAGCCTTTTGAAAGATCAGATATGGGCAATTAATAACAGGTTGTCAGGACTAATTGCTTTTTAAGAAATTCAATATATCATGTTTTGTCCTACTATAAACCAGACCTGATTGGATAGAGCTAAATGCAAGGAAAACCTGGGTTACCAACCATACACCAGTAATCAGTCACAGGTACATTAGATTGATTTAAATCAAAGATTATTTGTGTGTTAGCATGGGACTTTAACTAGGTCATTCTAACACACACTGATAAATCTTTGGAAATACTTATTTTACACAAAAGAATGGACATAAATTTCAGTATATGGATGAGATTGGCAGAGTTAGAGCACAGAAACTGACTTTTAAGAAGGCCAAATTAAAATGTAGGACTTTTCAGATTTTATTTTCTAAATAGTTTCAAAACCATGAGTGTTCCTGCAAGGTATTGAAGTTGGAAAAACTACCAATAAGCTCCATTTAATGGACCATTAAAAGAGAACTAAAGTTCAAATCCTAATTAATGCACAGTCCACAAGTGTCTACAAATGTCCATTTATGGACATTTTTAGCATAAAAATATAACTAAAGTCCTTGAATAAACCATAAATCATATTTTTATATAAGCTTTGAAACAAGTCAAACCCTACTGAATAAAACTAAAAGTTAAGCGCGTGAAATAAGCCCATTTTGCAGAACAAGTGAATTTAAGTTCCACCATTGGACTAAAAATTAACTTTTATTTAGGCTGTCTGCTGCTAAATCAAGCATGTAGAGTACCCAACCCCAGAGTTTACAGAGCTTCACACGCAATTAATAACTTTACCACAATCTCTGACGCGCGAGAGCATGTCGCAATCACTGAGTTTCTTTTCCCAGTATCAACATATCGCCACCTTCCTAAAATAATGGGCCAAGTCATTTTTTGCTAAGACTGATCATTTGTAAGAAAAAATTTTTTTTTTTTTTTTTTTTGCCAAATTCACCTTTTGGCAAAAATTACTTTCGGGGAAAAAACTGACTTAGGCCATAATTTTAGGAAGGTGGTAACGTTAAACGTTGTTGAGTAAGTTTAGTTCAGTTGTGGTTACTTCTTTTAAATCAAGTATAATTCATCTTAAAATCTATTTAAATGCAACAGTATTAGCAATGTCCTTTAAGTTTCATAAAATATGAATTTTCTCCCTGAAAGCATTCATGTCGTGTCATGAGTGGAGATAAATGTGATTACTTACGATCCAAGCCGTTGACATACTTCATGGTTATTTCACAATGTCCCCATACGGCACTCACGATGGGATACAGCTTCCTTCCTTTCAGGCCTCGAAATGCAACTCCTAGGTACTGTCCATCCACCATAAAGCTAAGCGTCCCTTCATCCATGTCCAGAATCACGAGGAGAGAGTCCGGGAGCGTGAACGACTCATCTGGCTCTAGGAAACAAGGGTACGAAGGCAGCGAACTTTGAGACCGGTTCTTGCTGTCATGGTAGAGTCTGTTTCGTCCCAGATCCCAGCCCCAGGACTCACAGTCCGAACCCACTAACGCGGTGTACCCAACAGAGTGTAAAGGGGCTTCCGAGGTCGCCACGCCCACCACAGCGTGGGTGCCTCGCTGCCGCGAAGGCCAGTGGATCTTCCACACGTGAAGACCCCGTGTGTATCCGACCCGTCCTCTGATGCAGTCCGTGCTTTGAGCGACTGGGTGTCGGTGAAACGTCAGCTTGTCGTCCTCTTTGATGAAGATGTTGAGGGAGCGGTCGTCTGGGTTCCACGCGTGATGGAGCTGCGTCTCCAGTCCAGCGCACGGCATGTCCAACAGGAGGTCCAGCCTGGGTGGCTTGGAGAAATCTGGACCTCTCAGCTCCAGGTGCTGGCGGCGATGAGCCGTGGGACGGTACGACGGGGAGCCGCCACTTTCCCCGCGACCTTCCACCGATTTAATGCTGCCTGAAATCTTCTGACCCATGGCTGTGATGAAAGGGTTGGCGGGAGGAGAAGGGGAGGAAGGCAATGTGGTATATGTGCAGGTAGGTGCTGCGGAGCGGGAGCTCGACGTTACCTCATCAATGCGGCGTTGCTGAAGTTAGAGTTACTAAGTGAAGGGTGATGGAAGGAAATGAAGGAGGAGGAAATGAGTGGCAGATCTGGTTTCATGCCACAAATGTCTTCATTGTGAGCTGCATCTGGTCCTGCTGGAAAATTATAAGAAAAAAAGACAAAAAGAAATCGTTATTAAATCTACTTTTAGCAAACAGTCATGCAAGACTAATCCAAGAAACACATCTCCTATTTTACAGCCATAAAACTAAAGCAAATGAGTAGATTTAAAAGCACTTACAACAAGCTTACAACAAATAAAAGAAATTGTAGGAAAGCGTTTCTTGAAAACAGGAAGTGTGCAACAAATAGGGATGATGTACGTTGGGCACAGACTGTTTTCTTGAGAAAAAAAGTTTGTGCTTTCAGGGAATATGTTAAATGGAGACCGCATAATGACACCAGTGAAAAACAAAGCACTTTTGTTACAAATGCCAAGGAATTATGGGAAACATCGCCTGAACAGGCGGTCAACAGCCAGTAATAATTGTTTGCACAAAGTTGATCAGATAAGAAAATGTTTCATATTAGCGCACTTTTTTATTATTTCCAGACGTTTTTGTGTTCTCCATCATTCCAAAAGTCTGCCGATGTCCACTGATTGCAATAATCAATAACTGCTTTCACTTTGTTTTGCCACTTAGCTTTAGCTTTCACACATTGAGCCCAATGAAGGAGAGTTTTTTACTGCTCTCAGATCCTCATTCCTCCTCACTGGATGAATCTTCACATAAATTTTCACTTGCTGAACTCAAACAGGAGCTGGAAACTTTGCTATCACCACTTTTGTCTCGACTGGATACTGATTCGAGAATTTGGTGTAAGAAAAGCAACATCATCACTTTTCAACTTTTCTTTCACACTTTTATAAATGCACTTTATATTTCTAAATATAAGCTATGAGCAAGAACACAAGTGAAAAGGAGAATTCAATAAAACGATTATATATTCCCCTAAACCTTCCACAAGAAAACAGATTCAAACCAAATGTCCTGATAGTGTCGGTAAAACATTTTGTATCCCATATCTGTAATTCTGAGAATTCAAGAAACACAAACACATGAACAACTACAAATTCAAACAGCACTTTTTCATCCCACGATTTCCAAACCTACACACCAATCCGTGAAAACTACCCAGTTGTGCAACGTTGGCCACATCTGAAGCTGGCAAACTCACTTTTAGCTAATCTAATTTTAATGAGAGCTGCCTGAGCCAGCAAAAACAACAACAGAAGGAAAACAAAAGCACTGCGTAATAATTCATCTCCAATCCTTTGTGTGTAACACGGGTGAAAAAGCCATCTAGACGCTAATCCTAATCTGCATAGAAGGCTGCCATAATATGTTGTAACCAGCTGATTAACTTGAAGTTCCTGTACAAAATATGAAATATTTCTGAGGAAAAACCACAGAAACTATTGTGGTTTTATTTTAAAAATGAATTCCATCTTTGAGTCATTTTCAGTGCAACGTTTGAGTTTCATCTGAGGGTGTTAAAAGTTTTAGGTCACTTTTTAGCAAAGTATCAGTTCTGCAGACCTCAAATTAGAAGTAAAGTGTTACTCTTCCTCATTTCACATTAAAAATCATTACACCAAATGACAAAAGATGGTTTATGTAACATCTCTTTTAATTCAGTCAAAGTCACGGGACGAGGTGCCAGAATTAAGGATATTAGGTTTTTTCTCAGATAGTCCGAGATCTATTATTTCAGTCAACATATAATTGGTCTTCAACGCTTAATTTTAGCATACGAAGGCAGAACAAAGATGATCTCACACCCACCCACACGCAGCTCTGTGTGGTTAAACTGGTGCAGAGATCTCTTCCAGGAATGGCAGCTGAAGCTTCCTCTTTGCAGGAAAAAACACTCGCACTTAGGCAGAAGTGGATGGCACAAGTGAGTGTGTGTGTGTGTGTGTGTGTGTGTGTGTGTCTGGTGGTGGTGTTTACCACACATCATTAACTTGCAAAACAGCAAAGATGTATTTTTTTTTTAAATCTTTTTGTTCCAACGAATCTGTGGTTGTAAAACTGAAACTTAAGCCCTAACCAGCCTGTCTGACACCTAGATATGAGCAGTTCATTTCTCATTTATGTGTGACTTTTGCTTTGAGTGAACAAAGAAATTGTGTCCTCCACAATCCTGTAAATAAATCTTCTAGCATTTAACTCACTCTAAAAAAAAAATAAATAAAAAATGCTGTAGGTCTCTAGTTGTGAGATTTCAAAATGTTTCTTCTCCTTTCTACCCGTCCTCCTTTCTGTTTGTGTTGGCAAGATAAAGCTGGGTCCTTACCTTTAGAGTTTTAATGGTGTTAAACTTTTGAAATAATTTTCAAAAAGTAAGTTTTCCTGTAGCCGTTATGACGATAACTCAGTCCTTCACTCACTTCACTTACATGAAGGGCATATTCTCTTGTTTTGGCCATTTTTAACAGTGGCTTAGACAAATGCAAATCCCGTTCCACTGAATAAATCCAGTTAGACACAAGCCTTTTACTTTTCTCTTGCTTACAAGAAAGATAAATTTGGCTGTTTGGAAATATTTCCCTCTGACTGTAAAAAAGTTGGCAGCAGGCTAGCTACCTGAACAGACAGCCAAGCTAAATAATCATTTAATATCAGCTCTTTATACTTGCTGCAATTACACTGTTTAGTGCCAATAAATATGAAAGAAACTGTTTTTTTAGAAACCTCCTACAGGTTAGGTAAATAAACAGGAGCCCATGTTTTTAACAATATATAATTAAGCAATCAGTAACATAAGCAATGGCATATTACAAAATGAATATGTTCTTTTTAAAGCATCTCCAATCACTCGATGTATGTGGTTGGTTGAATATAATAATGTGTCACCTTACTTTGACAAACCGCTTACAGAGAACAGCTTAAATATGAAACCAAAACCCGGTCCAGACAGTCAAAGAGTTCAAAAACGAACATGTCAAAACTAAAACTAAAAGTGGTCCTTGGAAAGTCAGCCAAAGTGCAAACAAACGTGTTTCATCTCTGCTGCTTTCATTTTCGTCATTCTTTCTCTCTCATTTTTCCATCATGAATAAGGTCATTGCAGCTGGCAGCCGTCATGACTAATGTCTGCCACTACTCTGCTCACCGCTAAGTGTGAGAGGACAGGCACACGTACACACACATTCACCCCCCCCCCCACACACACACACACACCCACCCAAAACAGGCAGCTGCCTCTTTGTGTGTGTGTCAGCCCAGCTGACAGGTAGGTAAGGAGAGGAAGCTGCATGTAAGACTCTGGACTCATCTGTTGCCAAACGTCAAAACTTATGATGCATTTCTACACGAGCCTCGGTCTGGTCTGTGGTCTGGTCGGGTCGGGTCTGGCCTGGCATGTGGCTGACAATTCAGCATGTTAAACCACCATCAACGGAGCACTTGACCTTTGATCCCGTGTCATAACGGTCATGGTTGCATAGTAACTTCTCAGGAGGCCGGTGTTGAGCCGGCGCATCGTCTGCTGCTGCAAATAGCAGGAACGTGCTTATGCCATCTGTTGTTTACTTTGCCGACCTCCCTCCGCCTTGTCGGTTCTCCCGATTAGCTCCTTCGTTCTCCCCTCTGTCCTGCTGCTGCTGCACCTGTATGGTCAGGTCAATGTTTTCCTCAGTTTCGATTTTTCTAATGAACCCACTGACATAAAATTCACACCAGGTGTCCGAAACAACAATAGTAATCCATATATGCAAAGAAAATCAAAGCACTAGTTAAGTTATTGGTAAAAAAAAAATTAAAATTAAACAGAAAAGAAAGGGATAGCAAACCAAAAAGCTGAAGTCTGTCAGTATTTAGAAATCACCTTTGCTACCATTTCATTTAATATGAACTGACAGCTTATAAAAATGTTTCTCTTTATCAAAGTTTTGAACAAAGTGGCACAATTGGTAGACGCAAATGGATCTTCGCAGCCCAGTCCCACTGTTGCAAAACCAACCAATGGCAATAGTTAGATTTCTAAAATTTTCATTTCTAACCTTTGAAATGTTCCAGTGATTGCTGCTGAAGCTTCAATCTGGTAAGGCGAGGCTGCAGCTGAACTTCTCAGATCTCAATGGTCACAATATTTGAGGAGAAGGAATGGGTCTGCCCAGAAAACACAACATCAAAAATGAAATTGTCTGTTTTCTGGAATGGACATCAGCCACATGTGGATATAAATAACAGGTGATGTTCAATAAATTGATAACAGCTGCAGCTGCTCCTGAGACATCACAAGTTATCACATAAAGAGGAGAGGAATCTTTCTTCTCTGTAGATTCACTTTACTATCAAGCAGTCAAAAGGAACGAAGAACACAGAAACTGAGCCAAAGTGATTAGAGACAGGAAGCAAGCTGTCAGAAGTTGGTAAGTTTAGTACAGTCTTTATCAGAAAGTGGCTCAGACTGAGATGAGAAGGCAACGACAGGGCAGGCAGGCTGTAATGTGCACCTGGTGAGTGGGCTAGCTTCATCTGGCCTCTCCTGCTGCACCCGTACTAACAAGCTTCAGCAGACTGAGAGATTGTGACGACGGCGTGTGTGCACCACTGTAAGATCGGGAGAACGGACTCTGAGCGGGTGGCTAAATGGGACAGTGTCTTATTGAAACTTGTCCAGTGAGCTTCTGACAGGATTTGAACACACAAATATAGCAGCTCAACACAGTGAGACAAAACACTCCTCTTACCTGCACTGCTGCAAAAGGTCAGATATCAGCTTAAAGTATTAAAATAAAATATAAACCTACTTGAATTTTTTTTTTTTTTTTTTTTGCTCAGTAGAGACTGTAACGTTCCAGTACAGGACGGGACTAAAACCTCCTGGTCGGGTCTCAGCTGGTCAATTAAGGCCAACCAGGGACCCGAAATAACACAAAGAATGAGCCCATAAAGTTCTACTGTGATTCAGCTTCCTGTTTCTTGTCTCAGTCGTGAATATTGCATTTACATTTCTGCTTGAGTCAGCTTATCTAGAGCCATATCCCTGCCACCTGCCGACAGTAACAACAGGAAACCGCTATTGTATTTGTCCCCTTAAAGAACACAATAATAATTTTGACATCTTTGGAAGTTCCTTTTTTTTTTTTTTCTTCCCCTGCCAATAATCAGATGAGTCAGGCGGTACCACTCATAAGTCCTTACAGTCAACGTTTTCAGTAAGCAGCTGACTGTCAGCCCAGACAAAGAGTTAATTAGTCATCTTAAGCAAAAAAAGATGGATTGACTGTAACTTTCAGCTTTCAGAAGTACAAAGAAAATTAGAACCACAAGCAGCTTTCTGCGGGTTGCAAGCCCAACCCAGCGAGTCTGCCCTTTGCCCCGGCCTTCTCTGCTCCCAACATCCCGCTAGTCTGGCTTTACTTTCTTATGTCTGTCCATCAGTGTCTTCTCCATCTTACTTGACTTAGAAAAAAAAACATTTTTCATTCATGTAATTATATTAAATTCATATGAACTTCACGAAACAGTGAAAACAATATTACATTTAAACTAGGCCCTCTAGCCAAAGGCTGAGCTGCAGACTCAGTTCCTGCTTATAGAGCTCAACTTTTAAAACTAATAAAGCAAAGAATCCTCTAAAACTAATAATTTTCCTTAAAGTCTTTCTATTGATTCAAGAAAACAAAATGACAGCTTTATGCAACATGGCCAAAATGTTCAGGCAAACTTGATCAAAAGACTCGGATAGTATTTTATTTATAAAGGATTGCCAAGGCATAAAAAATATTTTAAAATACAGAATATTTTTGGTAGGTCAAGCAGAGTACGTTTATTATTCCTTGAAATAATGCATTACATCACAACTATAAATGTCAACGTTTTTCATCCGGAAGGCCGGTATAATTGCGAAGGTAGAAGGAAAAAATAAATAAATAAAATCTGAAGTCTTTGGTTTGTTTGCCGTCCCAAATAAGAGAACAGGATTCATTTTATAAAATCAGTTCCTCCACCTAAATATAGTCATTTTACCACAGCTTTAGAGGCTTTATTCACTTAAGATAAGTTCAAAGACGAATAAACCAGAAGAGTAGTACTGAATCGCAGGATGATGTATGACTAATGAATTGTTAAATAGACCATTCTTCAGTCTTCCACTCCTGGGACGACATCTGGGCACCAACGTCGACACGCCAGAGCTCTCACGCAACCCCACACACACTGACAAACACACATCTATATTTATATTACACGGCGTGTCTTCATAGCAACAGATGTGCCCACTACATTAAACAAACTGCCTGCCTCTCAACATTGCTGACATTCATTCCGACTAAAGGAATCCCTGAGCAGCTAAAGAGACAAACACCGTCCGGCTCCAGAAAACATCTTCGGCTGCACACAGAAGTGCACTCTAAGGCTTTGACAGAAATGTTTCAGATCATCAGACAACTCTTAAAAGACATTGGATTGCTGTGTCACGACCTTAGCAGTCTGTTCATGTTCTGTCCTTCAATCTGGCTGGCTTAAAACCACTTATAAAGAAAAGTGGGCCAAACTCCTGCATGCTGATGTACAGGACTAACAGCTAGTTATCAGAAATATTGAATGGCTGTTATTACTACCAAGAGTTAAACAAGTTGATGTTAATTTTATTGGGTAGCTTTTGTTTGCACATACATGTGCAAGTTGGTTACAGAAACCTCTTAGATTAATAAATAATTTTTTTGTAAACTGATTTTTGTGTTTTCTCAGGTTATCTTTGATTTGAAATTGTGTTTGATGATCTGAAATATTGAAGTGTGTAAAGAAAAGTCAGAAAAAAATACTGTATAACTCTATAACAGCTGATGAAAATGTTGAATAAAATCATAAAGAAACAAATGGCTTTAGGACGTCATCTCTGCACTTTAATTCTTTCAAAACTCTCTTTCTTGTTGCCTTATCCGTGTTTTCTGTTCCCTGGCCCACGTATCAATAAATCCATGGAGACTTCTGCGGAGCTGCCTCCCTATCAGTTGGTACAACTTATCTCGGGCCCGTCACCAAATGCCCCAGCGTCCAGCAGGAGGAAATCAATGCAAGTTCAGCATTCAGTAAAAGCACCATCTGCAAAACGTAGGACACGAGCGAATTCGCACGCGGCTGCAAATCAGTACTCGCGCTGACTCACAGTGACAGAGCCACTCATACAGAGATAAAATTATGCAGTTTCTGCCTGAATATTTTTTTTGTGTGTGTTCCCGAAGCATAATTCCTTCCCTTCTCTGTTCCGCTACAGTCTGAACTCTTTATAAAGTAACTCCAGTAGCAGACATTTCCCTAATGAATCATGCTCCTTCCCCACATCTTCCTCTTGTATTCGTCAGATTTTCTCTAGAAATGTTAAAGAAAAACCCTCCACACATTCATTTCCCCTAAATAGTGAACTGAATCCCCGCTTATCAAGGAAGTGGAAGAGACATTTTGACCAAGATATTCAATGGAGGACGAAGTAAAAAGAAATACAACCGACGTATGAACACAAACGCAAAACTATGTTTTCTTCTCAAGAGTTCACATACTTCTGTGCCCAGACACCTTAAAATCCATGGTGCCCTGAGGGAGGATTATTAGTGCTGCTATGATCAAGTACCCCTTTAAAAGGAATTGGCCTAAACCTGTTCATCTCTCACAAACACCCACACACACGAAGACACGGAAAGGGCCTTGGAGATGCCATCCATAAAGCTCTCAGGGATAACGGTGGCAGATTCACAACCTCTGAGGTAATGAAACTGAATCAAAGTCTGTGTGGATGCGACACACTCCTGCTGCCTCACTTGTTTCTTGTTTAGCACCAAAGCACTTGAACAAATGATGAAACGTGTCACGCCCACACAAGTCAAACGCAACTGAAGAAATGTTTCAACTCTTGTATGCTGAAAGCCGTATTTGGGTTACGGACTGTTTTACTGGATGGTTGTCTTGGAGCAGAACGCGTATCAATGGGTAGTGGAGAAAGTAAATGTCCCGTATTTTTTGTTTTGTCACACTTAAAAATTTAAGATCAGAATTTCGACTGACTAAATAGAAATAAAAGCCATTTTCACAGGATGTTTCCTTGATTATCCAAACCAACTTGGCCTAGTGTAAAAGTAATTTCATCCCTTGTTAAATCAGGATTTTTCTGTGGTGAACTATATTTTTTGATTCAATTTCATAGTAAGCCACACACAAGCCTGATTACTGCCAGGTTTATAGAACCAAGAAATCACTTAAACAGAACCTGTCTGACAACCTGAAGTGGGATAAAAGAAAACGCATAATGGCCTGATCCAAAAAAAAAAAAAAGAGAGAGAGAGAGAAACAAAGTTACTGATATTTATCAGTCTGAAAAGGCTTAAAAAGCTAATAAAGTTTTTGGGCTCAGCAAATAATAAAGAAAGCCATCCTCCAAAAATGAATAAAACATTGACTTATTCAATAAATGATTTCAAATGATCATTTGAAATCTGCTTTATGTATTGAATCATATCTAAAAGTGTTTAGATGATGTGAAATATTGAAGTGTGGTGAAAAAACATTTGCACAATTGGTAGCAGTGAGATGAAGGTCCTGGGTTCGAATCCTGGTCTGGGGTCTTTTTTGCCTGTTCTCCCTGTGCATGCGTAGGTTCTCTCCAGATGGTCTGGCTTCTAAAAACATGACCGTCAGGTTAACTGGTCTTTCTAAATTCTCCTCAGGTGCGTGCATGGTTGTTTGTCCTGTCTATCTTTGTGTTGGGCTGGCGACCCGTCCAGTGCGACCCCGCCTCTCTCACGTTGACCACCAGCACCCCTCACAACTCCACCGGGATAAGCGTGTTGGATAATGGATGGACAAAAATAGCAAAAACTGAAGAAATCCATAAAGGGTCATACAGTTTTTCCTCAACACTAGATAGTGAATTTAACCCTGAATCTCACAGTGATTGATGTAATTGTTTATATTTACAGTTTAATAAGATTAATTTAATAAACTGGCACAAGATTATCAATTACATTTCATCAATGGTACATTAATTAATGGTCCTTGTAGCAACTAATGAATCATTTATAATTCTTATTAAGAAACACCAGTGACTATGTAAGCAGCTCTGCAAGGCTGTCTGCATTACTTAGAGCTAAAAGCTACAAGCTGATATTTCCAGGATGAAAATATAGTAAGAATCAACCCATGTATTAAAAGATTTGCTTTACATTATTCTGTGCTAACAAACTGAGTGTAGATCCGAGGTGGACAGTTAAACAGCTGTCACATTTCTCATCTTAACATGAATGTTGGTATATCTGCAAAAATGCATTTTGCATGGATCGAAAATTGCAGGAAAGAAGCACATTTTGAGAAAGAGTAAGGACTGTCAATGGTTGATTTAGGAGAATGCTTAAAGTTTAGATGTGCGGGGAAAGCCTGTTGCAGTTCTCCGCCGTCTGAACATTTCTGCTGCTGCAGAGTGAGCCCTCCGCTACGAAGCATGACCTTCTTTGAAGTTATTTTAATCTTGAAAAGGAAAAAGCACAGTTTTTCGAAAACATTCAAAGAAACAGAAGTTTCTCATAGTTCTACAATGAACTAGTTCAAGCACTTGTTTGCAATATACATCGGTATTGTGAAAATGCTAAATAAACCCGGATGTCAGCTACACCGCTGTTGGTTGTATTCATATCTTGAGTTCAAATGTAAACATCAGAACCGGGTCAGAAACTCAAAAATCCTTGATTGCGACATCTCCGACAAGTTCTTGTTCTGTCTGTAAAAAAGCGTGTGTCACTAATGATGCTTCCCTATTTTGTATTGTGTGTGTCACACTATTTCAGGATAGCATGACATCACCATTCCCTTCAAATTATTATTTTCTCTGCTTAATACCTAATTATCTTGGGATGAAAGTACGTGTCTCTTTTGAGTATGAGCGGTCAGATAATTATTAGCTGGGCTTAAATCAGGCCGCGATCCATCTGCTTGAACTACTCTAAACACTTAGCATGCTGGTAAATACATTTTTCTCTTCGCAGACAGAGCGTCTGCATGTCATATGTTGAGAATCACTATTATTCAATCACTGCTGCAAAATCTGATTAGTCCTTTTTTTGATTTTGTAGCAGTAGCGCACATGTGCAACAAATATGGCACCCTAAGGTATTACGCTCATGTCACACGATATTTGTATAAGTAAAAAAAACATACAAACAAACAAACACTGGCAGCTTGGATAACTATGATCAACCTGCATAAGCTACATATGCGTAGGAAGGCTTTACCAGAGTGTTTCAAACAAAAAATGTCTGTCTGTATGCCACTGAAAAATAAGTCTGATACATTTAATTTGTCAATCATAAACAAAAATTTATCCAAATCATGTTTTTTGGGTAGCAAGAGTTTTTGAAGCATCTCTTTTCTATGGACATCTTGGTAAACAGAACTGTTCTTAACAAAGAGAAGCACAAGGAACTGTAAATTCACACAACTCTGTACACGCACCAACACATGAACAAATAACACTTTGAAGAAATATTTTCACTGTCTTCAAAATGCGACCAGGCAAAGAAGTGAAAATGAAAGGGTGGGAGGAAATCTCAATTAAAAGAAACGCGTAAAAGGAAGGGAATAACTAATGTAAAACAATAAAAAAAATAAAAATAAATAAAAAATCAGGCACAGACTGTGGGTGGTTGAACGTTGCACATGGATACCCATGAATAAAGAGAGTGAATGAAAACAAACAATGGAGGACATGGAAAGAGAAAGAAAGAATAACAGTGAGAGAAACAGAGGTCAGCAGCTGACAAAACAAAAGGATGAAGTAAAAAAAAAAAGAGAGCTGATACGGCTTTATCCCCGAACGAACCAAACAAACACACACACATTCCCAGCGCAATCCATAGACCAAACAGTCCTGTGAGAAAAGCTGCCGCAGACGGCGCGGAGCACGCACTCACATCGGAGGTGTCTCTTACAAATACAAAAACAAGGCGTTTAAAAATAGACACCAGGATCCATCCTATTATTGTATGCGAGCAGAGGAAATCCAGGGGTGGCTTATACGAGAGCACTCAACATGGGTCTGCTCCAAACAAAAGCACACACATGCGCATACACACACCGGGGGTATCCCAGCTGGCCAGCTGAGACCTTCGGACCATTAGGGGAATTAAAGGCACCAGAAGATAATTGAAGTGAGGTGAAATGGAGTGAGGAGGAGCTCATAGAACGGTACCAAGGGCTAGTGGAGACAAGACTGAGTTTATCTTCAGAAGCAACAGAGCGAGGCTGATCTCCTCCTCTAATGTAAACATAACGAAAAAGAAGTCGTGAGAGTTCTGCTTTTAAGCCTAAAGCGCTGCGTGAGTAATTGGAGAAACTGTCACCAAACAGAAGCAATCTCATTCAAACAAAGATTCACCTCACCTTTTCAGATGGCAGAACAGCTCAAACTGTTTGTAATGACTTTTCATATCTCACCTCATGTTGCAGCTCAGTCTGAATCCATGAATGTCTAAACGATGGTATGAAGAAACATCAAAGTCCCTCACACAAAAAGCAGCGTATCTCATTCACGCAGTCGCAAGTAGAGAAGACAGTGCAAGGAAGAGACGAGCAGCTCGCAACTCTGACCACAACTGAAAGAGAGAGACTCTTTACTCAGAGAGCTGCCCACCTCCTTCCTCCCCCCCACCTCTCTCTCTCTCTCTCTCTTCCTCTCTCTCTCCTGTCCCTCCCTGGAGCTTATCTGTCCTAAGGCTATCACTTCTCCCTCACCTCCCCCAGGCTCGCTTCTGCTCCAACTCCATTGAGGGTTTCCAAGGCAGCGCAGTCATGACGCGTACAGTGGACAACCAGCAGCTCTGAACACACTCTCAGCCCAACTCCAGTTTCAGTTCCACTTCAGTCTTTCCGAGAAAGAGCCACTGAGCAGAGAGTGAGAGAAGGGAGTGGGAGCACGAGACATGGAAGCCTGAAAGCTGATCTCTCTGATCTCATCAAGCAAAGTTACCAACAGCAACCAGACCAGCCGGCAGCTGAGAGAAACACCCGGTTCACCTCCCTCCCCTCTCCGGCTCCCCCTCCGGTTTTACAAAGAGCTCACACAGAGCCAACCAACCACACCATCCTGACCCTCCCCCGTCTGCAACGGCGACACACACATGTGCACATACACTTAAACCCCTGCACGTGCCGCATGCCTAGTGCTTGCACAGCATGTGCACAATATTGGCATCAAGGTGCAGGAGGCCAGTCACGTCTAGGGTGTCACATCGGTTTACACGGATCAGCTACAAAGTTAAAACCGCTTGCAGGTGAAACGAATATACAGTAAAATGTTCTTACCCAAAGTCTGCAAGGTCCAGTTGATTTATTGATTTAGCTTCCAAACTTCAGGACCTAATGGAAGTGGTGCCACTGCATGCTGACAGAAATCACAGGGTACGTCCAACATCCTGAGTTGCTTCAGCTAGATAAATACTCTTACAAAATATGTGGGAATTGGTTCAGACGTGTATAAAAGACCCATGTAAACAGGCAAATATTTAAGAGTTAAGACTTGGGTCACATGCTCATATAGAAAAATGTTAAAAAGTAAGTGCAAGATGTCTCTGTTTGTTTTGTTTGCAATTAACACAACTTTCAGTGCCACTCCCTTTTGCTCCAGTCTAATGTTCTCACAGTCACCTTTTACTTTTGTCATGTTGTAAATTCACCCAAATCTAAACATGTGTAATTAAGCTTTTTCCAAGTCGTTCTCTGCATAGCATTCAGAAAAGCATTAACACAGACAGGCATATGCAGGAAGTGACAATAAAGACTAAAGCAAACCATGAAGAACTCAGATCCAACCACTTTACTTCCTCCTCCTTCGCTCAGGAGTGCCATCACTACCAGAAAACCGAAATGCCCACGAAACCTCAAGTCCAAGAATACGACTGCCATATCATTACATCACATCAGCTCAGACGGCCAAACATGACATGCAGCAATACAGCTTTGAGACAGTAATTCATGGTTTGCCTGACTTCTGTTCTCACACATCTGCAATTAACAGGGAGGACACATTTAGTGGCTGGGTGACGTCAAAGAAAACACTGTTACTGAACTACCACATTCTCAGACACAAAGGGAAGGAGGTTAGCATCTGGTGAAATACAGCAATTTCATTGTCTTCTTACATTAGACTTATACCACCATGAAATATTTAGTTACAGATGGGGCATCCTATAATGTCCCTGATGGATTGCTCTCTGACATTACCGTATTTTCCTGACTATACGTCAGTTTTTTTATGGTTGCCTAGTCCTGCGACTTTAGTCCAGAGCAACTTGCATATCAGTTTTCTCTTCATGATGCTCTTTTTTAACTAATGCACTAAATGTAAATGTATACCGTGGACATGAAGTATTCACCTCTCTATCACCGGGATTTACTGCAGGCGTCTCCGCTCCGCTGCGCACTTCACCAACAATGGTAGGAAAATCTGACTAGGTAGCACAGAACGTCAGAACACTGGGGGAAATGTTCCTGACCATCCTGATTTAGAGTTTGGAAGTCAGCATTTCACATTTCCAGGCCAAAGCCGCCAGTTCCCATATAGTTTCTTAAAAAGCAACCAACTGATCACAATATGTAACCGAAACCTTTCATCAACATGAATGATGCAAAGTCAGGAAAATATAGTAATGTTTTGGGTTTTTTTACAATACTCTCTCTGACAGGTGGAACGATGTTGTCTTGCTTTGAATATTTATAATTAATGACTACTAATAGCAGGAATGATCGAAAAAATAACCATCTGAATGCTGCTTAATTAACATTAAATGTCTTAACAAAAAATGCATTATCACAAAACCTTCACCATATGTGCTAATGTCCCCCTATTTAGAATAAAAACAAAGACAAAATTTATGCAAAGAAGCTGAAGATTATGCATTACCTTTTGCTGATGTATCAACTAACCTAAAATTCTTGCTTCTTTAATTGCATCGTTCCTGTTGCTATTTTATAACCATGTGTGTTGCATGAATGTAACATTTGCACCTTAAAACCAATGACATACAGAAAGACTGTAATTTAATTTATGGTTAAACAGATGTTTGCATTGTCAATTCACATCACCATTTAGATTCTTATTCCAATTTCCTGGAAGAACGGAAGAACAAAAGGCTTCAGACTAACTTCTGTCACCCCGAATAACAGACAAAAGATCGAACAATATGTAAATCTTCAAACCGAAAGACTCCAGCACCCCACTCCCCAGATCCTCGGCTGGACCCTGCTGGAAATTGCCCCATGATTTTCTGCCTGAAGGCACATCCACATTTAAGAGACCCCATGGGGGTCTGGGGAAGCATGTGGGTGTGTATTTGAGTGTGTGGTGGTTAATCTACGGGACAATGGGGGTCCTGTCCTCACCCCACACACAGGGCATTAGGGCCAGGGGCCTCACAGCTGAGCATTTTACAGATAATACAAACAGTGTGTATACGAATGTGTATGTTTATGTGGATTTATGAGTGTGTGTGTCTTTGTGCGCACCCCCTTGCAACACACGTGTCAAGCACAAAGACACTCAACTATCTACATCACCCACACGGAGAGGCGCTCAGAGAGAGTGCAAAGGATGCACTGCTGGAAGTGGAGAGCAGACGCGAAGAAGAAAGGAAATGGGTGAGGCAGAGTTAAAAAACTACTGGCGGTCAAAAGGGTGGGGGGTGAAAATGGTAAATGGTACAATTACCTTGTACAGATGGCTGAACGAGAGATCGACAGGAGCAACGCCAGTTTGGATGGTGAACAATAAAAGCCGGCTGATCAAGGACACACCAGCTTTTTTTTTGGTGGTAAAACAATCAACTGATTTTCCTCAAGCACCGATCCAAACGTTGGCAATCAAGGTGTCCTGTATAAAAGCCTTGATAATGATGGCAATATGGGCTTTTAACAGGGTTTCTGTAAAGATCAAACTCATAAAATGTGTTAATTACCAAACTCTACAGGGGCCAACAATGTCAAATCAAATATGTTCACGTAAATAAACCTCCCTTTATTTACGTGAACACATGATCTCACAAAAGGTTTATGTGAACTGTCTTCTCCACATTTTGTCAATTTTAAACAAACTTTAATAACATGTTTTGGTAGCGATTTCATGTGAGAAAAACAGTGCACTGCATAATTTGTGGAAGAAAAGTTGTAATGCTTACATTTCCTTGCAATCGCAGTTGCTGGTGTCGCATCCCCAACAGTTTCACATGAATGGAGACCGAAGGAGTTTTGGCAAAATAGTTGCCAAATTCAGTGAGCTTAGGTGGAGAGTGTCTGGAAACATCTATTTTCAAGTCTTGCAAACCACAGTTTTTCAACTGCATTTAGATCTGCACTTTGACTAGGCCATTCTAAGACATGTATATGCTTTGACTGAAAGCAGTTTGACCATTTGGCTGGCAGGTGAACATCTGTCCAAGTCTTAAGGCTTTTTCAGCCTCTAACAGTGTTTTCTTGCAGGAGTCCAAATGTATTTAGACGCATAAATCAGCTATGATCAGCTTCACTAACCCTAAGGAAAAGCATGATGCTGCCACCACCAAGATAACTGCAGGCTGGGTGTATTCAGACATTTTCCGGTTCACATTGTGAAAGAGTTTAATTTTGATCTAATCTGTCGCCTTATATAACTTGTGCTTTCTTTCTACAACTGCTCTTGTTGCTCTTTGTTGTGACAGCTCAGCTTAGGTGTATTCAGTTCAGATAAAAATAAAAGTTTAGAAAGGACTACATGGGTGATGCCTGTAATTTTAATATGTAATAGTGTTTGTATTTTTTGCAATGTTTAGCATCAAAATAGAAATTAAATACATGCATATTGTTCTCTCAACTTTGTTTGAATTACTGAGGTAAATTTAACACTAAAATCAAGTCATGATTTATTTATTTATTTTCCAAATGGGAGATGTCGACATGCTCCACCACAGATGCCATAAAACAAAGCAGTTCAACTGTTGCTGTAAACCTTTTCATTAAAGTAATAGGAGTTTTGATGCAGAAGAAGCTGTCTGAACTCTGCAGGAAAAAAAAAAAGAATATATTTTGTGAATATTTTTAGGGAGATTCAGGTGATACTGTTGTGAATGACTTCTCATATCCCAAGTGTTTTACGCCAAAGTGCCAGATGTTAAAAGAACAATTAAGTAGAGTCTGAATATTTTGACAGCCTCACTGATGTTGCTAACCCTCTTGTGGCAACACATCCTCACGTAGCGGGGCTTTTCCCATTTCTCTATACCTGTAAGGGTATTTATTAGAAAGAGAAACATGAGAACTGCAACACTCAGCCATCCACTGAAACATGCAAGCACCCTGCTCCCATCACTTGTACACATTAATACAGACACAGACCGTCTGAGTACAGCAGGTAGGCATCAATTCAGCCTGGCTGTACGATCAATGATGGTAAATGGAGGCAGCAGGAGGGACAGACAGTGATCTGCAGCTCTCATTTCCCCCTTCAGTATCTCTCCCTCTGCTGGAGCATCTTTTCCTTGTCTTGTTTCGCCATAGGAAAGCTCATTTAATGAGACACAATCTGACTTTGTAGAGCAGTCATTGAGTTTTCGCTCTTTCGTCCGCTTCAGTTACACC